TTGCCAGTCGACGAGTCAGCCGCACAGAGTCTCGTCTTGGTTCTGTGTATGCTGCTGCTGCTGCCGATGTTATTTTTGTTGTAGTTCCTCTTCTTCTTCTGGCTACATTTCATTTCTCATTCTCATGGCATTATATATATGTCGGTACATTCATACCTACATACATCCATATATTGTCTACATCCATATGATTTTGTTTTTCCTTGTTTTCATTATCGTCATTTTACTCTTGCTGACGGATGGATGGATGGATGGTCGAACGGGAGGGCAGGCTGGCTGCCTGGCTGTTCTGTTAGCGTCGCGTCTTCACATTACATTCGTACGGTTTTGTTTTCGCTTTGCATTTCATATTTGCCGATTCCCATTGGATTTCAAAAACAGACCCCCTCCTCGTGGTGGAGATTCCTCGTTTTGTTGTTCTCGTTGTTGTTGTTGTGGTTCTTTGCAATTCCTTTATTTGCTGTTTTCTTTGCCCTCTGTGCTAGCCATCCTTTATTCTGTGTAGTTTTTATGGTCTCCAGGTTGGGGAGAGAGAGAGAGCGAGAGAGAGAGAGACAGATTTTGTACGACAACATTTTGAAGATTGTGCTGCAATAGTTTTCTTCGTCTTCTTCCTTTTTTCGGCATTTTCTGGTGCTACCGCTGCTGCTGCTTCTACCTATTCCTATTCATGTTTATGCTTCTGTTCCAATTATTATTTGATTTATATGACTGTGATTTGCCTCTTCTTGTTGTTGTTACTCTTCTGCTTCTTCTTCTCCCTGGCTGCTTTACTATTTGAAGCTTCGTTTGCAATGTTTATTATTTAATTAAATTTATTATTGTTTCTTCTTCTTCTGCTTTTGTTTTATGTAAAGGCGCCGCTATTGACGCTAACGCCGCTACATGTTGTGATTGCTGTTGTTGTTGTGTGTAGGTTTTTGTTGTTGTTTTATTTTTGCAACATGTGCAGAATTGATAATGCAAACCGGGCATTTTTTTATTATTATTTGTGTTACTCAATTTGATTTGGCGTCCAAGTTCAATTAGGCAATTGAGACAATGAGGAATTTTCGTTACTCTTTTTAAGAGACTTGGAATTACTTCATTCTAAGTGAGAGTCATGTGAAGCAAAACTTTTCTATAGGGGATAATTTCAAATACCTAGCAAGCTGTCCAAAGTTCCACATGTTATATTTAAAAAAACGTAAATTTTTTCGATTGTATTATTATTGTTCGAAAATATTTGGGAAAATTAATTATTCAGTTCAATCATGTATCTCCGATTCTGAATATTCGATTTTGGGAATTTTATTCCCTCTGAAAGCATTTTTCTCGATAGATCATTCCTCCACATCAATAGTAATCGATGGGAAAATATTTGCAAATATGGCAACGCCAATGGGTCTTTTTCGTAGCTTGTGTACCCTATTTGTTGTGAAAAATGGCGCAAAACCTAAGCCGTATGGCTAGAAAAGGTACATATCATTGGCCAAAATGTGCCTCATCGAAGTAATGGTTTTACACCCTAGGTCTCTCCGGGCCAAATCCGCTTCAGGACATTTGGAGTCTATCTAGCGATGTCCGTCCGTCATTCCGCCTGTCTGGTGCGCCCGATAACTCTCGAAGAGTGTTTTCGATTTAGCCCAAACTTGGTACATCGTAATATTATTATCAAACTTAGATCGAGTTCGGAGATGGGCAATATCGGTCTACAACTTCTGGCAACTCCCCCACAAAAGTTCGAAATTTTAAAAAAGAAAAAAATACTTCGCTGCATAGAAAGGGAAGGGATTATTCGATTTTGCTTCAACTTTGCAAATACTAATATTTGCATCAGTGCTAGCTTAGGTGCGAAAATGGACAATATCGGTCCACTCCATCAAGTACCTAACCCACAAAGGGTCAAAATTGTGAATAATTATAACTCTTATAAAATGTGATGTAAGAGTTCGATTGTCTTCAAATTACACACATCACAATATTTCTATTAACCCAAGGTCTGGTATGAGAATGGGATATATCGGCGCACTCCTTTTGGTACTTCCCACACAAAGGGTCAAAATTGTGAATAACCAAAACGTTTATAAAATCCGAAACAAGCATCCGGCTCTCTTCATATTTCGCACATCTCATCACTTCTACTAACACAAGATATGCTGTGAAGATGGGATGTATCGTCGCACTCCTTCTGGTACCTCCCCCACAAAGGGTCAAAATTTTGAATAATTATAACTCTTACAAAATGTGATGAAAGAGTCCGATTGTCTTCAAATTACACACATCACAATATTTCTATTAACCCAAGGTCTGGTATGAGAATGGGATGTATCGGCGCACTCCTTCTGGTACCTCCCCCACAAAGGGTCAAAATTTTGAATAATTATAACTCTTACAAAATGTGATGAAAGAGTCCGATTGTCTTCAAATGGCGCACATCACAATATTTCTATTAACCCAAGGTCTGGTATGAGAATGGGATATATCGCCGCACTCCTTTTGACACCTCTCCCACAAAAGGGGCAACATTTTGAATATTCATGGAGCTCATAAAACACGAAATTAACATCGGATTGCATTCAGATTTGGCGCATCTCAGTATTTCAATGAACACAATATCTGTTATAAAGATGGTAGAGATCGGACCATTCCTTCTGGTACCTCCCCCACAAAGGGCTAAATTTTTAAATAACTAAAACGATCATAAAATCCGAAATAAGCACCCGATTCTCTTCAAATTGCACACGTGACAATACATTTATTAACCTAGGTCTGGTGTGAAGGTAGCATATATCGGTCCACTCCCTCTGGTACCTCTCCTACTAAGGGTCAACATTTTGAGTATCCATGGAGCCCAAATAACGTCCGAATTCATTGAGACTTGGTTCATCTCAATATTTCCATCAACACAATATCTGTTATCTGTATTAAAGAGATCGCGCCATTTCTTCTGGTACCTCCCCCACATAGGTTTCAAGATTTTGAAAAACAAAACGCTCAAAGAAAGCGAAATAAGCATCCAAATCCATCCATCCATCTTCTCAAATTCCCAAAATACAAACACTTCTGCTAACACAAGATCTGTTGTGAAGATGATATACATCTGCCAAACTCCGTATCACACCCATAAGAGGTCACAATTTCCAATACTTATATTTGTCATACCTTGCGAAACAAGTCAGCGAGCTATGTCTAAGTATTTCTCTTAACCAGAAATCTGATATGTATATGTACTTTATCGAAATTTATGATTCCGCATAAAATTTGATGTAAATGTTAGATTTCCATCAAATTTTCCACATGCCAATATTTTTACATGTATTAGATGAAGTATGAAAATGGAATACTTCGGTCCGCTATATCTGTTACTTCTCGCATATTTCCACATTCTCCAAAGTTGCACATATTTCATATAGTATAGAGTATAGGAAGTAGTCTCTATATAGTCTAAATCTGGCACGTTGTCAAATTTTTATCAGTCTTAGGACAGATACGAATTGATCAGTATTGTCCAACTGATTGGGAACCTGGCCCGTATTTTTTAATTTTAATTTGGTTTCTTTGGGACACCCTTTACAAGCCACCCAATGCATGTAAAGAACAGAGGGAGAGTAATTATAAATACGAGTGAGAGAAATTATAAATACGAGTGCGAGTGAACGATTTATCACGTCACAATGAGAACTATAAAGCTAAGATTAATCATCTAAATCATTGGTGTACACGAGCATCTACTGGTGTCGGCGTAGAAAAAAAGAGATTATGTTAGAGAACACTAAAAATACTATTTTTTTTATATATATAAAGATTCCACGATTATACAAAAAAAATTATAAATTTTGTTTTTACACTTTGAGAAATTGGACTGGCGAGAGTGCCCTTATTCTTGAATAGCTCTGATCTTAGTTATCTATTTTCTATTTTGAATGTTACGCTCTTTCTAATCCGAAACTTTTTCCTTTTTCTTCTTCTCTTTTCAGTGTAAAAATTTGTGTATAAAAAATATAATTCTTTAGTTATTATTACAAATTCAAAAATATAAAAATAATAAAAAGCGATCGAAGACGACAACCAATCAATCTCTCATTCATCAAGTCATTTTTTTGCAAACCAACAAAAAGTGAAAACAATTGATCATCTGTTCAAAGCCACACAGCCAGTCACAGCTCTAATCTCAACGCCGTCAACGGAAACAAAGTTTTGAGTATCAGCTGATAACAACAATCAATCTTGCGGCAAGAGAGCCTAAATTTGGCGCCCAAACAAAAGTCAATTTTTTTGGTCAAAAAAAATTTGTCGTTGTAATTAGCCATTATTGTCCGTTAGCAGCCATTGTTCTCTCGTCCTCGTCGTCATCGCTGTCGTTGTAATCTTCGAACGTCGTCAATGTCATTAATTTTTTAAATATCATCATCATCAGCATCATTTGCATTGTGTAATTTATTTCTGTGTATAAAACCAAACAACAACAACAAAACGAAATTTTTAACAACAACAAAAAAATAATTACAATAATTTTTAAGTGTAAATTACAACAACAACAACTTTGTTTATACATAAAAACCAACAACGATCCAACATCAAAATCGGTGGAAAACATAGCGTCGTGTTAGTCGCGTCAAATCTCAGTGTGTCTGTGTTTTTAAAATCGTCGCCGTAACATTAACGCGTGTCGCCGGCATTGTAATCAATAAACTCAACAACAACTTGGCTTTGGAGAGCGAAAGAGAGGGAGAGAGTGAGAGCGCCTAACAACAAAGCCAGTGTCGTTTCTGTAAATTTTTGTGTAAAGTTCAATAAGTTTTGTCAGTTTTTAAGTAACTCTCTGAACTTTCCACGCTCATTGCGAACGCAGTGTGTGGGCTTGTACAAAGAAATCAGATCGTATCGGTCATTTAAGAACAACAACAACAACACTGTGTATTATAGATAGGAATATCAAAGAAAAACAACAACAACAAAAAGTCTGATTGTCTCCAAAAAAAAAAAAAAAAAAAAATAATTAAAAGCTAAGATTTTTTGAAGAAGAACAGCAGTCCCATCTTTTTCACTCGCTCGCTCGCCATCAACACTCACTTCGAAAAGCGTCCCATAAATCACAACCAACGAAAATCGGCAACAACCACAATTTTTTCATCCTCCCCAACGTTAAAAGAAAACGGCCTCAAAATAGAGCTGCTATCGACTCCGTCTATTTCCTTTGCCCCCATTGAGCCCACGGTGCCATCATCTGCCCACTATAACACACCGCCCTCCTACTACCAGCACCACCACCAGCCGGCGTCATCCTCAACATCAGTGACGGCGGCAGCAGCAGCAGCATCAGCAGCCTCAGCAGTGGCGGTATCATCTTCATCTACAGCCGTTACAGGTTCCGGAGCAGCGGTGGCAACAGCAGCAGCAGCTACGACGGCGTCAGCCAACAACAGCAGCAATCTGCAGCACCAACAGCGGCATTCTTTTCAAAATTTTCTTCTAACTTCGTCATCGCCTTTAACATCTTCATCGTCGCCGTTGTCGAATAATCATCAGCAACAGCAGCAGCAACAACAACAACAACAGTTGCCACCCCATCCCCAGCAACAACAGCAACTGCATTCGCAAAACTACATACAGCACCAGCAGGAGCAACAACATCATTATCAGCAACAGTATTTGCAGCATCAACACCAACAGCAGCAACAGCACCAACAACAACTAACACACATGAAGTTATTGGGCAGCAATGATGATAGAAGCATGCGCGGCATCGATCAAACCATACCGCGCAACAATGACGATGTTGCCGCTGCCGCAGCTGTAGGCTATGTTTTTCCCCGTCCCTCGCCGGGTGGCATGGCCCCAGGCATGGGCTCGGCCACGGGCAATGTCCACGATGCCGCCGCAGCCGAATATGCTGCACAATTTGCCCAGAAACAGGCTCGCTGGGCCTGTGGCGATGAACACACCATTGATGTAAGTAGAGATTTTTCCACAAAATGTAAATTTTAATAGGTCTTCGGAAATTGGTCCATAAAATTCGGCCTCATAAATAGTCTTAATTTCCAGCAGATCTCCGAAAAACTCGCTCGAATGCCAGTAAATAGTGAATCTTGCTTGAAATCGAGTGGAGATACTCCTGGGAGTAGAATAAAGAGAGAACTCGAGCAGGCTTTGTTCGGTTTAGAAAGGGAGCGAAATTCGCTTAAAAACGAGCAAATTCTGCTCTTGCAGGATCACAAAAATCGGACGCATAAATAGTCTTCATTTCCAGCAGACCTCCGAAAAACTCACTTCAGTTCGAGTAATGAATGAAACTCGATCGAAATCGATTGGGAGTTCCCTTGGGAATAGAATAAATAATACGAGAAAATTTCCTCTTTTCGGTTTCGCTCGAAAAGAGTGGAGCAGGCTTTGCTCGTTTTAGAGAGGGATCACAATTTCCTTCGAAATCGAGCAGATTCTACTCTTGCAGGTCCATAAAATTCGGCAGCATAAATAGTCTTAATTTCCAGCAGATCTCCGAAAAAATCACTCGAATTCGAGCAGAAAATTGAAACTCGCTCGAAGTAGTCAAATCGGAGCACTCATGGGTGTAGAATAAAGAGAAAACTCTTCTGTTCGGTTCCGCTCGAATATGACCGAGCAGGCCTTGCTCGTTTTAGGGTGGGAGCAAAATTCGTTCGAAACCGAGCAGATTCTACTCTTGCAGGTCCATAAAATTCTTCAGCATAAATAGTCTTCATTTCCAGCAGACCTCCGACAAAAATTCACTCGCATTCGAGTAAAGAGTGAAACTTGCTCGAAATCGAGTGGAAGCACTCCTGGAAATAGAATAAGGGAGACCAGACTCGCTCGAATAAGGATGAGTAGGCTTTGCTCGTTCTAGAGGGGCGGCAAAATTCGGAGATGCCACTCTTGCCGGTCCATAAAATTCGGCAGCATAAATAGTCTTTATATCCAGCCAATCTCCGAAAAATTTACTCGAATTTGAGGAAAGAGTGAAACTCGCGCGAAGTCTTCGAATTGCAGCACTTCTGGGAGTAGAATAAACAAATAGTGGCACTCTCTTTACTCGGTTTCGCTCGAATATGACCGAGCAGGCCTTGCACATTTTAGGGTGGGAGCAAAATTCGTTCGAAAGCGAGCAGATTCTACTCTTGCCGGTCCATAAAATTCGTGAGCATAAATAGTCTTTATATCCAGCCAATCTCCGAAAAATTTACTCGAATTCGAGGAAACAGTGAAACTCGCTCGAAGTCGAGTGGGAGCACTCCTGGGAGTAGCATAACTAAAAAGCAGCTAACTCTTTTTCGAGTTTCTATCGAATAAGGCCGAGCAGGATTTGATCGTTTTAGACAGCCATCAGAATTTCCTTCGTAAACAAGCAGATTTTACTCTTTAAAATTCGGCAGCATAAATAGTCTTAATTTCCATCAGACCTCCGAAAAACTCACTCGACTTCGTGTAAAGAGTGAAACTAGCTCGAAACTAGTGGCAGTACTCGGGGAACGAGCATACTCTTTTTTCGGTTTCGCTCGAATAAGAGCGAGTAGGATTTGTTCGTTTTAGAGAGGGAGCAAAATTCGTTCGAAAATTAATCAGAAGATTTTACCTTCCCTTCCTTTTTGTCATTCCGCCTCGAAATATACATTTTAGACCCCACAAAGTGTATATATTCTTGATCAGCATAAAATTCTATGTCGATTCAGCGATGTTCGTCTATAGAAATCACTCTAGCTTTCGAACGAAATGAAGTAGGTTGATAAAATTTTACTCAGATGTATATTATGTCTGCAGGACTTTTGGTATTGAAAATGGGGGACCATGTAGGTTCACGTTTTGGTATGGCCCCCCATATAATGGTACCTCCCGATATTCGGTATTTTGATGATTTAAGCGACATTATTGAACGGAATTGTTTCAAATTTGATATTTGAAGTTCGTAACGGATACTACATCTTATTACAGAAAATTGTCGGTGTAGGTCCAAGCCTTCGTATAGTTCCCATATAACTGCACCTCCCGGTATTCGGTATTTTGATGATTTTACAGACTTTATTCACTGGAATTGTTTCAAATTTGATATTTGAAATTCGTAACGGATACTACAGCCTATGACGGAAAATTGTCTGTGCAGGTCCACGTCTTCGTATATCCCCCATATAACAGTACCTCCCGATATTCGGTATTTTGGTGATTTTAGCGACATTATTCACCGGAATTGTTTCAAATTTGGTATTTGAAGGTCGTAATGGATACTACAGCCTAAGACAGAAAATTATCTGTGAAAATCCAAGTCTTCGAATAGCCCCTATATAACGTTACCCCCCGATATTCGGTATTTTGATGATTTTAGCGACATTACTCACCTGAATTGTTTCATATTTGGTATTTGAAGTTCGTAACGGATACTACATCCTATGACGGAAAATTGTCTGTGCAGGTCCACGTCTTCGTATATCCCCCATATAACAGTACCTCCCGATATTCGGTATTTTAACGATTTTAGCGACATTATTCACCGAAATTGTCTTAAATTTGGTATTTGAAGATCGTAATGGATACTCAGCATTTGGCAGAAAATTGTCTGTGCAGGTCCACGTTCTGGTATACGTTACGTTATTTACGTTATTCGCCGATTTTTTTGCAAGTTTCGCATTTGAATATTGTAATTTCAAAAGTTGCCTGTGCAGGTCCACGTCGTTGTATAGACCCTAATATAACGGATACATTCGGTATTTTATAGCGGATATTATTTTTTTTATTGGAGAATTGCCAAATTTTTTCCAAATTGTGGAGGGTATTTAAAGTTCGGCCCGGCCCAACACACAGCTTTTTTACGATGGCAGAGACATCGTGGGTGATAGAGATGCTGGTAGGTACATAACCTGCCAGATCACCATCGGTGCGGACCAATGAATTTCCCTCCTCACGTCCAGTTCTTCATCAGAGACAGAGAGAGAGACAATTCGTTACAAAAGTAGATGCAACACTCTCTTGACGGAGCCTCAGCGTTTTGGTTTTCCACTATGTCATGAGAAGTTGCTACAAACCAGCGAAAATCACTCCGGTTTGTAGCAACTTCTCTCAGTTCGGCAATGTTATCGAAATATCCTCCATGACTATTCGGCGAAAGAGAGCCAGTCACTTTACTCGGAACCAATAGTCCATTGTGTTCATCCTTGAAAATGGAAGAAGAAGTACAGAGAAGAAGGAGAAGATGTATGTAGTCGTAACAGGAAATATTCTGCAAACAGTCTGTGTGGCCTATGCCATAGCCTTTTGAGATTGCTGGAGAAAATAGACCAGGGTCGCAGCTACTCGGTAGTACGACTTAGTAGGTGGGTTGTAGCACAAAGTCTGGATCCGAAAGTCGAAACAACTGCAGAGAATGCACTCAATTGATGCCACCTCTTCATCATCCTCACATAGTCCGCAGATCATAATTTCATCCTCTCCCAGTCAATGGCTAGACATATATCATGTGCGATAGAGGCTAGTAAGCCTTTTTACCTCAGATTTTCTGAAGAGAGAATGTAGGGAGAGACAGAGAGAGAGTCAAATTTTTGCAACCTTATCCCCATAGGACCTTCTGAGTGTGTCAATGTAACATCAGTTAGATTGAGAACCTCCCTCTCCTAGCTATTTCATTATCCACTTCATTTTCCAAGATATTAAAGTGTCCTGGTATACAACAAAACTTAATAATCGTCTCGCTATCCTCTGAGGTAGATCTACACTTGCTAACTATGTTGGATTTGATTGAGAATCTCTTTATTGTCCTAAGGACAGGTCGCCCGACTATCTGCACCGATTGAGACTGTCACACCTGCATGACTCTGCGACTGTCCTTTCACCAATTCTACAGCTTTTGGCATTGCAAAGAAGATATCTGAATGGAAGACGTTCCAATTGTCATTTAGTCGGTATGGTTTCCTGACGCTTAGTTCCTCTCAGTAAACTCCAGTCTCCTGTTGCGTCATCCATCCATTGGAGCCACTCTGCATGGATGCCAAGATTGTCGGAAATTTGAGAATTTTGTCCAAAATTGAGAATATTCTTCATGAGCCTAGATATCCTGAAAGCTTCAGTGGCTAATCGAAATATTCTTGTCTAGAAATTTCAACAGAACTAACAAATTAGCTCGGAATTTGGCCAAGCTCACATAGCGAAATTTCTCTTTCCAAAAAATATTCAAATGACAAACTTTCGCTCCTTCCTAAAATCTCAACCGAATCGCAAGCATTTTGGCCTTCATCCCAAGAATTTGGTTATTTCTCATACAGAGATACCTTTTAATTTTAGATATTTTCAAGTATTTATTCGAATCTATTTTTTTCCATTTTTAAACTATTCAAAATCAATACCTTAACAATTAAAGTCGGCTTAGAAAATTGTAAATATTTTTTTATTGAAAAAATAATTTTCCTTTTTTTTAATAATTTTCATTTCCTTTTTTTTTTTCATATTTTTGCAGAATCCCGACAAATGGAAATACAATCCACCCATGAATCCGGCCAGCGCTGCTCCTGGTGCTCCACCCGGTGGTGGTCCCGGCGCAATTGGTCCCATCGGTATGGGCGGCGGCATGGGCAGCATGGGTACAAATGGCGGTCTACATCCCTCCATGGGCGGTCCCAATCAAATGGGCAATTCTGCCGCCGCTGCCGCTGCAGCCGGTATGGCGGCAATGCAACAAGCGGCCGTTGTAAAACATAACCAAATGATGTCTCAAGTCGCCGCCGCTGCGGCGCAACATCACCAACAACAGCAGCAGCAACAGCATCAACAACAGCAGCAGCAACAACAACAACAGCAGCAGCAACAACCACCGCATCCAGCTCATCAACAGCCACCGCATCCCCAGCATCAACAGCACGGTCCACCGCATCCCTCACAAATGCAATCGCATCAATTCAATTCGAACCTCTTGAATCATGCCATGAATAATCCAGCAGCTGCAGCCGCTGCCGCTGCAGCCATAGCAGCGGGTATGCCACACATGCAATTGCCGCCGAATATGCAAGCGGCTGCCACGGGTAATATGTACGATCATCCCGGTGTCCATCCCGGTGTGGGTATGAACGGTGTCGGTGTGCCCAAACCGCCGCCACCCGGCCAACCCGGTCCAGGGGAATTGGTGTATTTGGGCGGTCAGCCACATGCGGCTGCAGCCGCCGCTGCCATGGGCATGATGCCACAAAATCAATATATGAATAATCAAGCTGCCGCAGCAGCTGCCGCTTCAAGGAATGCAGCAGCGGTAAGTCGAATTTATTTTTTGTGTTTTTGTAATCTAAGGAAAAGGCTTGGTATTTTGTGGGATAATTGGAACATTTTTATAAAATGTAAGGGTTTTCGTGGCGTATTATCAACGTAGATAATATTTTCACACTATTTGGATAATGTGGATAATGTTTCCGCGTCATTTGGATAACTTGGATAATGTTTTTTCTGCCTTTGGATAACGCGGATAATATTTTTTTCTGCATTTGGATAATTTCTCTGTTTTTGGATAATGTGGATAATATTTTCTCTGTATTTGGATAATGCGGATAGTGTTTCCACGTTATTTTGATAAGGTGGATAATATTTTCTCTGCCTTTGGATAACGCGGATAATATTTTTTCTGCATTTGGATAACGTGGATAATATTTTCACTGTATTTGGATAATGCGGATAATGTTTCCACGTTATTTTGATAAAGTGGATAATATTTTCTCTGCCTTTGGATAACGCGGATAATATTTTTTCTGCATTTGGATAACGTGGATAATATTTTCACTGTATTTGGATAATGCGGATAATGTTTCCACGTTATTTTGATAAAGTGGATAATATTTTCTCTGCCTTTGGATAAAGTGGACAATACTTTTTCTGTATTTAGATAATGTGGATAATATTTCCTCTGTATTTGGATAAAGTGGATAATGTTTCCGCGTTATTTGGATAACGTGGATAATATTTTCTCTGCATTTGGATAACGTGGACAATATTTTCTCTGCATTTGAATAAAGTGGATAATATTTTCTCTGTATTTGGATAATGTGGATAATGTTTCCATGTTATTTGGATACCGTGGATAATATTTTCTCTGAATATGGATAACAAGGATAATTTTTCCATTTGAAAAACGTGGATAATATTTTCACTGTATTTGGATAATGCGGATAATATTTTTTTCTGTATTTGGATAACGTCGATAATATTTCCTCAGTATTTTGATAACATGGATAATATTTTCTCTGCATTTGGATAAAGAGGATAATATTGTTTCTGTTTTTGGATAAAGTGGATAATATTTCCACGTTATTTAGATAACGTGGATAATATTTTTTCTGTATTTCGATATCGTGGATAAAATTTCCTCAGTATTTGGATAACGCGGATAATATTTTTTCTGTATTTGGATAACGTGGATAATATTTTCTCATCCTTCGGATAAAGTGGATAATACTTTCTCTGTATTTAGATATCGTGGATAATATTTCCTCTGTTTACGGATAAAGCGGATAATGTTTCCACGTTATTTGGATAACGTGGATAATATTTTTTCTGTATTTGGATAACGTGGATAATATTTCCTCAGTATTTGGATAACGTGGATAATATTTTCTCTGCATTTGGATAAAGAGGATAATATTGTTTCTGTGTTTGGATAATGTGGATAATGTTTTCACGTTATTTGGATAACATGTATAATAATTTCTCTGTTTTTGGATAATGTGGATAATATTTTCTCTGCCTTTGGATAACGTGGATAATATTTTCTCTGCCTTTGGACAACGTGGATAATAATTTCTCTGCATTTTGATAAAATGGATAATATTTTCTCGGTATTTGGATAACGTAGATACTATTTTCTCTGCCTTTGGATAACGTAGATAATATTTTCACATGATTTGGATAATGTTTCAACATTATTTGGATAAGGTGGATATTATTTTCCCCGCCGTTGGATAACGTGGATAACATTTCCACATTCATTTGACAACGTGGATAAAATTTCCAAGTTATGTGGATCATGTGGATAATATTTCCATGGTGGAAACTTCCTTGTATTTTCGAAAATAAACTTGAAAAAGTGTTTATTTTTGATCCCACTGTGCTACCTGACACATACACATGTGTCCATATGTATGACCCCCACTGTGTATACCTTCAGACTACAAAGCTGATTCCCCATCACCACAAAGAGACTAGGGTTATTCGAACGAACATGTATCCCATGTGCATGCATGCAACTGAAGATAGTTCCATTTTCTCATTCTTGAAAGTTTTCATTTTCATTCTTTTGCCTGGATGTGAATTCAGGCATTCAGCAGGCCAGCCAGTTTGGCTTTGAAAGGCTGACTGACTGACTGACTCGTCGTGAGATGGTGGCACAAACATTCATCCATCCATGCGAAACACAAAGTTGTACCCCCTCGGGTATGGTCTGCTTCGTCATTCCCTTTGCCTTAACTATTTCACTTTCTGGTCTGGATAAAGAGCTGGCAAAAAAAGTAGATGTAAATGAATGCAAAAGGAATGAAAGCAATTCACAAACAGACAAGAAGAAGAAGAACAACAACAGCAAGGAAAAACACATGGTGGTGGTGTTTTTGTTGTTGTCCATGGCTGTTGACTACCCTTTTTTTAATTCATTCGAAGACACTTATTATGGACACGTGAAGCTGTGACGACAAAAAAAAAGCAGGCAGAAAAAACCTCTAATGAGCCGTCGCAATGTGTTGATATTGCCAGTCATCATCCCATTGACATTGTTTTTGTTACGTTTTTTTCTTTTCGAGAAACAAGTTTAAGATTCGCAAAATATTCTCAACGAATTCAAGTTGTTCTCAGCTGTGGGTCCTGAGGAAGAAATTCTGGTTTTCTGTGAAACAAAATTTCGTTAAAATATTTTCTTAAGAAATTCCTGGGTTTTATGGAACGTTAGAAATTATTTTTACACATTTGAGTTAATGGGGATAAAGTTTCCCATTTATTTGGAAAACGAGGATAATATTTTCGCAATATTTGTATAAACTAGATCATATTTTCTGTGTATTTGGATAACGTGGATAATATTTTCTCTGTATTCGGATAATGTGGATAATATTTTCTCTGTATTTGCATTACGTGGATAATATTTTCTCTGCATTCGGATAATGTGGATAATATTTTCTCTGCATTCGGATAATGTGGATAATATTTTCTTTGCATTTGGATAGCGTGGATAATATTTTCTCTGCATTTGGATAAAGTGGATAATATTTTCTCTGTATTCGGATAATGTGGATAATATTTTCTCTGTATTTGGATAACGTAGATAATATTTTCTCTGTATTTGGATAACGTGGATATATTTCCACGTTATTTGGAAAACTTGGATAATATTATTTCTGCATTTGGATAATGTGGATAATATTTTCTCTGTACTTGGATAACGTGGATAATATTTTCTCTGTATTTGGATTACGTGGATATAATTTTCTCTGTATTCGGATAATGTGGATAATATTTTCTCTGCATTCGGATAATGTGGATAATATTTTCTCTGTATTTGGATTACGTGGATATAATTTTCTCTGTATTCGGATAATGTGGATAATATTTTCTCTGCATTCGGATAATGTGGATAATATTTTCCCTGTATTTGGATAACGTGGATAATATTTTCTCTGTATTTGGATAACGTGGATAATATTTTCTCTGTATTTGGATAATGTGGATAATATTTTCTCTGTATTTGGATAACGTGGATAATATTTTCTCTGTATTTGGATAACGTGGATAATATTTTCTCTGCATTCGGATAATGTCGATAATATTTTCTCTGTATTTGGATAACGTGGATAATATTTTCTCTGTATTTGTATTACGTGGATAATATTTTCCCTGTATTCGGATAATGTGGATAATATTTTCTCTGTATTTGGATAACGTGGAAAATATTTTCTCTGTATTTGGATAACGTGGATAATATTTTTTCTGTATTTGGATAACGTGAAAAAAATTTTCTCTGTATTTGGATAACGTGGATAAAATTTTCTCTGTATTTGGATAACGTGGATAATACTTGCTCTGTATTTGGATCACGTGGATAATATTTTCTCTGTATTTGGATTACGTGGATAATATTTTCTCTGTATTTGGATTACGTGGATAATATTTTCCCTGTATTCGGATAATGTGGATAATATTTTCTCTGTATTTGGATAACGTGGATAATATTTTCTCTGTATTTGGATAACGTTGATAATATTTTCTCTGTATTTGGATAACGTGGATAATATTTTCTCTGTATTTGGATAACGTGGATAATATTTTCTCTGTATTTGGATAACGTGGATTATATTTTCTCTGTATTTGGATTACGTGAATAATATTTTCTCTGTATTCGGATAATGTGGATAATATTTTCTCTGTATTCGGATAATGTCGATAATATTATATTTGTATTTGGATAACGTGGATAATATTTTCTCTGTATTTGGATAACGTGAAAAATTTTTTCTCTGTATTTGGATAACGTGAATAACATTTTCTCTGCATTTTCGTAAATGGATAATATTTTTTCTGTATTTGGGTAACGTGGATAATATTTTCTTTCTCTGTATTTGGATAACGTGGATAATATTTTCTCTGTATTTGGATAAAGTGGATAATATTTTCTCTGTATTTGGATAACGTGGATAATATTATTTCGACATTTGGATAACGTGGATAATATTTTCTCTGCATTCGGATAATGTGGATAATATTTTCTCTGTATTTGGATTACGTGGATAATATTTTCTCTGTATTCGGATAGTGTGGATAATATTTTCTCTGTATTTGGATAACGTGGATAATATTTTCTCTGTATTTGGATAATGTGGATAATATTTTCTCTGTATTTGGATAACGTGGATAATATTTTCTCTGTATTTGGATTACGTGGATAATATTTTCCCTGTATTCGGATAATGTGGATAATATTTTCTCTGTATTTGGATAACGTGGAAAATATTTTCTCTGTATTTGGATAACGTGGATAATATTTTTTCTGTATTTGGATAACGTGAAAAAAATTTTCTCTGTATTTGGATAACGTGGATAAAATTTTCTCTGTATTTGGATAACGTGGATAATACTTGCTCTGTATTTGGATCACGTGGATAATATTTTCTCTGTATTTGGATTACGTGGATAATATTTTCTCTGTATTTGGATTACGTGGATAATATTTTCCCTGTATTCGGATAATGTGGATAATATTTTCTCTGTATTTGGATAACG